CACTTCTGTTACCTAGGTCACTAAAAATAATTGGTTGTTTGGAGCAGACTTACAAAGTGCATAATTTTTGGAAAATGTCAGTGATGGATTTGCACAAAGCAGTAGTAGACAGTCAAAACAAGAAAACATAAACAACTCTTTTGGATTTATTGTGCTATAACCACAGTGGTCTTTCTTTCCAGGTTCTCAAAATAAACAAGTCATTCCTTATTCTTAAAAAAGAGAAATCACTTTGCTAAGTGTATATATTAATAAATCCTTGATTGACCAAGCTTGTTTGGTCAAGATGGCTGGATGTTAGTGTCGTTCTTTGGGCCCTTTTTATGGCCCACGACTTTGTCTTGGCACATAAAAAAAACGCAACAAAAGAACTCTACCAATATCCAGCCATCTTCTTCTCAATGAGGCATATGTACCATGGATTGACAAGATTACTGGACCCCACTCAAAAGGCAAGGCAGTCCATCAGTCCATAATCTTTGCATGGAGTTTCCTGGAGAGAACAGTATTTCCCACTAATAATTTTGGCTCTATGTTACCCCTCAATGATTTGAACAGCCAATGGAACAAAATCACCCTTCAAGAGTTCAATTTCTGACCATTTAGCAGTATATTGAAAGAAATAATTTTTGGGGGGGATATCTGTGTGGTATACACTAAAACAATTATTCACCTCAGTGTTGGTAAAAGTAGTGGATATTTACCTCCACGTTGGTGAACAATTGTTAACTACAGTGTAAATAGATTGGTGGTCAGCACCACATTTAAACAAACCTCTTCTTTTCTTCCTCTTTAGCTCTTTCTTTCTCAAGAGCAAGTAACCTTTCTCTTTCCATAACAGCATCCATTCTGTCCATCAAAGTATGGGAACAAAATTAGTGCACCCTGTACATGAACCTGTTTCTTCGGTGAGTTTTGATTGAGTGTTTTAAAGGTAAATGTAACCCTGGATTCCATGTAAATGCACTTTTGACACTATTGAAAATTGCTTGTGACAACTGAGAATATGATCTGGCCTCAACTTGCCAAACACACAATACACTTTCAAGTACAATGCAGCTGAACTACCTACATGTAGGTAACTTAAGTTACTAGTGCTAACTTAACACAAACCTTCTGTCTTCTTGTCTTGCTGACTTCAGGTTCTAAATTGAAAAAGTGAAGATCCAATCAATGAGAGGAGAATAGAACTAGGCAATTCAGGAATGTCCCTGACCACCAGCTGATTTTTGTCTCCATTCCTCTCAAAGCCAATTTTTCACACTACCATTTCTAGCCTGACAGGCAGGACGTTGCAACTGAGAAACCAAGATGTCATTACTAGGTCCCACCATGACACAAGGTACTGGACGAATGCAACAACCATCGACTGGACATTTTCTCCAGCTCCATCCCTTGCAATTACTTTTAAAAAGATTTCATTTGGAATAGAAACTCAGGCAGAGTTAAATGTAAATCCTTACCTCTTGCCGGTCAGACACTTGATCAGCCCAGCTGTTCACTACATGTTCTCTAAGCTGGTCAGCTTCAATCTACAGTGATAGCAATAAGAAAAAAATCAAATAGCGAGGGTTTTCATTTGGAAATGAAGCACCAGAAGTAATGTGTAAAGTATAAGGAGAAGGCCATCAAGATATAGCCACAGAAATAAATAGCATTACTTGAAAGATCTTTTGTCTACATATGTAGACTACTGCCAGGTGCAATGAAAAAATATCACAATTGAAGTACAAGTTAGTGTTGAATTTCCAATCATGACCCAAATAATTAACTGGGTCATTTTATAAATACTTATTGATTAAATATCCAGAGCATCTAACAATCACTGCAAATGCTTACCTCTCTAAGTTCTACAGCATTTTGTTTCCAATGATCATACAACTTTTGCTCAGCAATCTGAGAAGGTAATTCAATTGGTGCATTGTCAAAAATATATCACACTACATAGTTCCTTAAGACCCTCATTAGTGCACACAATACAATAATGGCAAAGCGTAGCTAAATCACAAAATAAGCATATATATACTGTAACTATCCACAATAAAGTAATCACAGGCAATTTTCGGAGAACAATGGGGGATTTCAAGCTGTTGAATGATGTCTTTTTAGTGACTTTACTCAAGTGTATGACTCACAAAATGAGCTTGCGTTTCTTCCCAAACACTGACATACCCCATTCAAATGATAAAAATGATAAAGCTCAAACCTCCTTTCTTCTGGCTTCCTTGTCAGCTCTTAGCTCATCAGCTCTAGGTAGAAAAGCACACTTCATAAAAATTGAATAGTCAGTTAACAACATCGTAAACAACACAAAACAGAGGAACATGTTTACTCTTAACATTACAGAGTGATCAAAGGAAGCTTTTTAAGTTACAAACCTCTCTTTCATCTGTAACAGTCTACCAGCTCCACCTAGTCTTTTTGCTTTAAGCTCTTCCTAGAGATTCAATTTAAAAGCAAATGGAAAGGTCTATCGTGAATGTCCAATACACAATTGACCTTCAAAACCAATGTGTTCACAGTTTTCCTAGTCATAAAGTAAATGTTTCCTGTTTTCTTACTCTAAAACTGACCACCAACTACAGTCTTAATAAAATGGGAGTAGCGTTAAAGAAAGATTTATTCAAATATCACTAATTCTCTCCTTTTTTTGTAGTTTTGCCACTGAGGACCGCGGGCTTTGGTACTTGTTTTCCTTTAGTGGCCATCTTTGTTATTATTATTATTATTAATTATTTCATTTGATGACTTCTTACTGATTATTCAACTGTTTTAGGATCAAGAACAAGTACAACGAATTCATTTGGGTTAAAAGCAACTCTGAGTCTCAACTACAGCAACAAACACTAACTTGCACTACAGTCAAATAGTTAACCTTGTTTTACACCTAACCTCATACTCTTTAGTCTCCTTTAACAACATTTCAGACAGTCTTTTTCTCCTCTCTTCTAATCTTTGCTGTTTATCTTGTTTCATGTTCTTCTTGTATAAACCATCCAGTGCTTGCATGCTGTTAAAAATAAAATATCTTACAGCCACGTGGCAAAGTCTGACATTTCATTTAATTTAACGACCACAAAGATGACTTCACTAGTTCATTCTACCTTAAGTAGTGTCTCGTGATCAACTGGAAAGCATTCCCTCATTGGCACAAAGAAAATTATGTGGTAGGTATACGACCCAAAAACTACCAATTGTATGTAACCTGTATTTTGAGCTGAAGTAAATTCCGTAAGAGCATAATTCTTCTGAGGATAGTTTGGCATAGCATGAAATTGATTATTGTAACAGTCTTTTGTATGGGCTGCCCAACTACCAGCTTAACAAATTGCAGAGAGTTTTGAATGCCTCAGCCAGGCTAGTTTGTAATGCATCTAGGTTTTGTCATGTCTCAACCCTTCTTCGTGGTCTGCATTGGCTTCCTGTTAAAGCCCAGATAGAAATTAAGATTCTGCTTATTATGTTCAAAGCAATTCACAGCCTTGTTCCTAAATATCTATGTGATTTACTAACATTTAAATTGTCTTTATATAACCTCAGATCTTCAGATAGTATTTTACTTTCTATGCCAGCTACTCGATCCAAGATGTTAGGTGATCGAGCTTTTATGGTAGCAGCGCCAAGGCTCTGGAACTCTCTTCCAAAAATAACTTCGTGCGATTACTAATGTGAACAGTTTTAGGGCACATATTTAACAATTATTCGCCGAAGGCGAGGTGAATATCGTCAAATAATCCCAGAGAGGAAGTCGAGGGGATTATTCGACAATATTAACTGAACCTGGGGCGAATAATTGTTTTAGTATAATTTCAGAGCTGAACCACAGAGAAATTTCTAAAATCATAACATTTTAGTAACATTTATTAACATTTTAGTTAAACATTTTATATAAACCGCGCGGAGCGGTTTATATAGCGTCATATAAGGAGCTCGACCAATCAGATTGCTGGAAACTCTTTGTTCAGCTCTGAAATTATACTAATAAGACTTATCTTTTGAAAAATTTTTATCGATGAGCAATTTTATATTCAGTTCTATTCTCAATTTGAGATATTATATCGTTTAAGTTAATTTTTAATTTAATCAAAAGTATAGTGCGCTTTTGATCATTGTATGTAAAAAGCGCACTATAAATTGATAAATTATTATTATTATTATAAATAAATGTTACCAAGGAGACAAAATTTTTATGGTCATGATCGACACATACCAATTCTCAAATCAGTAGCTGTAGAGCTTTGGAGTAGAGGAAATAAAGGGAAAAAGACTAAACTAACTAAACTATGACTATTGACATTAGTTAGGCTGGGTAAAAATGATAAGACAAGCTCAGCATTTCCGCATTTAAGTAGTAAAACCTACAATATCCCGTCTGATCTCACCTGTCTTCGTACGATTCTCTTGATCCCCACACTCGTTGTTTGGTAGTTTCCACGTTAGATCTATTGAAATATCGTGCGTTGTTATCCCAAGCTTCCCTTCTTTCCGCTTCGAATTGTGTTCTTCGAACAAGGTGTCCTTCATTCCTGTTTTTGTAGTTTTTCAGCCAGTACGGCTGTAAAGTCGGAAGCGCCATTTTTGTTTTGTGTTCGTTACATCAAAGCGAGGCATCACGAAACGCAGCCGCAGTAGAGACAATATTATTTGTTTTAGGTTTATTTAACCAAATAGTGACCACACAGTTTAAGCGCCGAGATAGCTCAGTTGGGAGAGCGTCAGACTGAAGATCTGAAGGTCCCTGGTTCAAAACCGGAGGGTTCGTATGAGCCCTGAACAATCCCGGGTCTCGGCAGATATTTTTTTTCTTATTTTTTGTTTGTGTCATTGGAAATAAGATACTCAGCAATTTCAGAAATTCGAATAAGTTCAGTTAATGACTAAACTTGTTACAGATAAAATTGGGAAAAACTTTCTGATCTCGAGTCACTAGTAAATGAACTACTTACGATAGCAGAATACCAAAAGAATCGTTTAATATAAGCAAGGATCCTGGCATTGCCTATTACAGTTCAAATAAAATGTAAATGGCCCCGTGAACCTCGAGGGAAGGGGAACAGTCAGTGAAAGAGGAAGAACAGCTCAAAGTATTAATGGCTGTGGAAATATCTAGTAAACGGAGAGAAGAAAAATTGAGTGGGGCACTAGCTGAATAAACGAAACATCCCTTTGAAGGAGAAAAGTCTGGTTTCACTTTTGAAGTGCTCTTTCAACAAGCTTTTTCTTCCCTCAGCATGTTTTATTTGTAAAAATACAGTGTAGATACTGGTCACGCTGAAATAGTTTCTGCGCAAAAGCCTGCGTATGCTGGATCCCTAGGTGGGACAAAAAAGAGGGGAGCCCCTCCTTCCAATCCCACGCTGGCCTCTTTACTTACGGACATTTCAGGTATAGTATAAATCAGGATACTCGTCCGAAATTGTTTTCACATGAGTGAGAAACATTTGTAACATACATGACCCCCTCCTGTCAAGAAACCAAGAAAGGATTGTACAAAAGCTGTTGGGAGAAACCTAAGCTCGAGTTGATCCTCTGGTAAACTTTCCCCCGAGGGGTAGGAGGCAATGATTCCTGACTATCCTTCAGATTTGTCGAGTAAATCCTTATTAGAGTAAGAGGGAAGGTCATCATCATTCTCGTCTTTATTTAGGTCCTCCCTTGATGCACGCAAAGCCTTCTTAGAGGGTTGGCGCCGTAAGGATCCTGATGTGCTGGGAGCAGAGGAACGTCGACGGCCCTTATTCGATGAGCTCGACGACAGCTGATCATCTGGCTCCTCTCCATTTAGAGCGTCCTTAGGACTGAGTCCCCGTGCGGCATTGAAACAGAAGCAGAATATGATGCAGCATAGTAGGGCGAACAAGTTCAGAAAACCGAGAGCTAAACCTACCCCTCCCACTACTTTGAGTTTGTCATCGTAGGCGAAATTTAGTCCCGTACATCCTAATATATTGATGAAATCCATGGGGTTCTTTAAGTCCAAATCATTGCCTCAAGTGGTTGTCGGGAACTTACAGCATGACGTTGGTACCCTGTTGTTCACCCCCTGGGGACAAATTAGTCTCCGGTTAGAATGCTCACAATTAACCGGCGCACATACGTATATTACTTTTCGGAAAGAAGAGTATCGGCATCTTTCTTCTCATAAACCGTTATGATTTGTTTGCTTTCCATCAAAGCGGCGCTCCATGGCTTGGCTAAATCAGGAACATGCAGAAATTGACGGAAAGGATGACTCGAGTCTAGACAACAATCACTCCACATCTCAGAAATATTAAACTGTTTAAATTGGCCTATTGACAGAAGCTTCACTGATGGACATATTTCGGACGACAGAGCACACTTTAAAGGAGGAAAATACCAAGGGCTTCTTTCAGGATGTGGTAAATAGTTACTTGAAGTTACAATTTAAGGAGAGAAAAAACGCTAAATTTCGTCTTAGAACAAGACATATTTTTAGCTTAAGACGCTTAGCTTAAGAGATAAAAAGCAATTTTTTTCCACCAACCTGAGCTGCTGCCCATTTTGAAGTAAACCAATCACGATAGTCAACAATTCCACAGCAGGCGTAAGTCCGCTGGATTTGATCGAAGGCTTGGGTGACTTTCTCGTCACTTCCATACTGGGCCAGCATTTGCTGACCGTTGCTTAATTTCTTTTTACCGACAATAATTTCACTCTTCAACGTAAAATACACTATCCCCATGATGAACTCGACGAGAAACAAAATGATAAACATGATGGCCAGTAATGTTAGAAGTCTGTTATTTTCTTTAACTACTGCAAAGATAAACAGCCCAGAAATGAAAAGTAAGAATACTAGCAGGCCAATTCTGAGTCCATAATTCACCGGGAACGCAGCGGCTTTCATCGTTAGATAATCTCCGAATGGTGTTGGTTAGGTGACAGCAAAAATGATCAGAGAGAGGCCAGTCAAAAAGAAGAGGATGAAAAATCCGAGGATGGACCATTTTAGAGTATCTTTTGCCTCCATGTTACTTTAATGATCTCCTTGATATCTGCAAGAAATAGGAGAAAACGAACACATGAAAGGTGAAAATCAGTTAAAGGAGCCACAGGACACCTCCGATGAAAAATGCATTTTGTCGGTAAAATCACCATAATGGTGTTCGAAAGCATTGCTAAGTGTGACTTCTTTGGCATGGGTTTAGTTCCAATGTTGTACAAAATTTCTGCAAAAGATGAGCTCGCTCTCTGGAGGCACCATTCCATCTTGACTACAGACAAAGCCATAACGACTCTTTCAAAGCCGTATAAGTAACCTAACTGTTGCAATATATATTTCCATTCCTATAACTGCCTCTTATGTCAAGTGTGTCTGTAATACTTTACCCTCTCTATATCAGGGCAATGGTCACACTTAAAACAGTACTTTACAAAACTTCGGTTTCACGTTCACGTGTTTTCAGCCACAACTGGTTTTGTTCCCAAACTTTAAACTAACAGTATAGTAGCGAGCGTAACAAACAAACACCCTCCTTACCTAGGTGAACCAAAGAGAATTAAATCATTGTTAAGCAAGCCACACCTCACCCACCAAAAAAAAAAAGCCTCACTTCATCTAGTCCGTGAACCATATCAAGTTAACGCCCACTCCTTTGAATTGCGAGTTGAAAATCGAGAACTAGTCCTCTACTATAAGACCGACGAGTACGTAAATGGATTGATATCAAAAGATACAGTAAACATTGCAGTAAAATGGACACCTGCCGCGAGGCACTTTGTTCTTCCTCTTATCTACCCCTGATCAGTCGATGGAAGTTAAATAATTCACCACAACTTTAAAATTTCTCGGAAGTGTTGCTCCTGCTAAGGACTTTGGTTTTAAAAGCAATTCAGTGAATTCATCCGAGGTTGAATCTCCTTCACGAACGTTAATTGTTTGGCATGGAAACATTAGTTAATTACATTGATTCTTAGCTCAAGTTGAAGTCCCATTCATTCATTCTTGATTCGCGATCAAAACCCAAATCTGTTGGGGAGAAACTCCATCCATTCCAATAATCCCAAAATAGACGACTTAGCCAGAGCCAGACGAATATTCGTTGTGACAGTCAATATAATGCGATGTCAATCCGCCATTTTCTAGAAATCATTTAATTTTAATGTTGGCTAGAAGTTTCGGAGCAGGGAACAGGTTGCAGAAATCTCTTTGTGATTACTCGAGCGTAACATATGTTTATAAATCAATTTGCTAAGTAAAACAATTGTTGACAATAGTCGTCATCTTAGTCTATAAAAAGATTTTAGAAACAAGCAACGGGTACCCGAGTTTACAACACAAGTCAAGATTGTGTTCTTCACATAACATGGCAAAATCGTTCAATTCTTGAAAAGATTTCAGGAGCCGTTTTCCAAACATGTTGAATAAAAGTTTGTGGTCAGGGAATGTATCCGAACAGCTTTTAGCCTTCTGTGCTATAGTCAACCATATTCCACGGAACTTGCAATTTGGAAACTCCTTGCAAAGATGGCCTTTCCTGCTAATTTTTGTGTAGCAATTGTTAAATATTCTTTAAGATGACATATGAAACGTCACTATACGAAGTTGCTGTTAAAAAATTCAATTTAATTGACCAACCTCGGATTGTATTTGTGTAAGGCACCCTAATCTTTGGTTAGCACAATTTCTCAAGAAGAGAAAAGGAAAAGCAAAACTAAACAAAACAACAACAAATTGCGTTTTCCCGCGCAAAAGAAGTTAACCAGTTTTAACTTGAGTTGTGATTGGTCTATTTGATTAATACTTATGGTTTTCCGACACTGGTGAAAAAAGGAGAAAAAAATTAAAAGTATCCTATTTCACAGCTACAAAAGTAATTGCCAAAAGGCTTGCGGGCTCTTTATCTCGTCATATTCTCGTACCAGGGTTTTTCTCAAACACGGTGGAAAACACCTTGCCTGACTAGGAGTTCTCGATTTGACGTCACATTACCCGCTAGAGCCATTCCTCTTTAAACTCGGTCGTGGGGCAAGACGGCGGCCGATTTTCCGTATTTTGACTGGGCACAGAAAATTGAAGATTTGAGCAAATAAAAAAATTTTTGCACAGAAATAATCCAAAAGATACGCTTATTTCTTTAAGCGAAAAAATTTTTGGGTTTAGGTGCACTTTAAAGAATGGGCATAAAATAGAATTGACTTTAACCGGTTGTTTGGAAATTTCTTCACTTTCAGATCGATCAATATCCTGAAACTACATGTTAACGGCCGAAAAGGGAATTCGAATGAGGAATATTATCAGCTTTAAAAGTTCATTAATTCAAAGGGTTCCTCTACTCCAGCAGGTCGCTAATTCGGTTTATTTTCTAGTTGTTCCTAAGTTATACTAATTATAGAAATGAATAAAAGCTGATAGTTTCTAAAGAAACTGTTTGGAGCTGCGTCGGTGGGGGTAACGAAATAATTTGGATATATCAACAAAGTTGAAATGGTAAATTGGCTACCGTAACGATTGCAAAAGCTGACATTTCGAGCGTTAGCCCTTCGTCGGAGCGAATAGAGGAATTGTGGGTTGTGCGTGCTTTCTGCCTTTAAAGGCAGAAAATGGAGCTACGTTATTGGTGGGAACATGGCAACTAGAAAAACACGAATAAATTAGAGGGGAAACTAACAATCATAGGTAGATGTTATAACTCTTGATTTTATTAACCTTCGGTGACACACGACCGGTCATTGTGACCGGTGGAAAAGTAAATAACAAAATTCTCAGACGATTGGTTATCCCACGTCAGAAAATTGACGCGGTATCACAATTGTTGATAGTCAGTGCGTGCTTCTGTAAAAGGAGAATGAAAAAAATAAACCCAATTACAATTTAGCGGTGTAGGACAATGTGCTCTGTTCGAATATCAAATTCATTTATTTTTCCGGAATTACCCATCTAGTTCTCAGAGCCACGGGAACCAGTTTGAGGAATGTCCATCTCAGTTTGAGCCGCAACTCGTTCGTTTTGTCGATATCGTGAAGTGTTTTCTTTCAACCGGCCGATCAAGTGACAAGAATCATCCATTTCTCACACACCCTTGTCATTCAATTTACAATCCAAGGAGTTCACGACTTTAAGAATGCGACTAGAGACGTAGAAACTGAGAAAAACGACTGTAGTTACGCGCATTGTTTTGTCTCTTTCAGTGTCAACGATCAAGCTACTTTCCTTTAAAAGGGAACAGCACGTGCGAACGTCACATTCGTACATTTCACCCAAGAGGGTGATGGTGATGGTGAGGGTGAGGGCAAACAGACAGAAGCCTCAAAACTAGCAGAGATTGTAATCTCTGCTAGTTTTGAGGAATCCACCAAGGTATATTCACATTAAGTAGAATCCACCAAGGTATATTCACAGGACAGTTAAGCTCGCCACAGGAAGCCCAGTAGGATAGGCTGAATATGGGTCGGTCGAATCCTTTCCAAACTTCGTAAATGGTAAAGTTGTCGAGAGGGAAGGAATCCAAGCTGCTGCAGTGCTCTGAAAATTTCCCAAAGACAAGCTTCGGCAGAGGCAAACGATTGTCGTTTTGTGCAATCCATCTTTTCCTGAAAGCTTTGGCTACGATTGAGGAACGGCCTCGTTCATGTCTTCTCACTTCTTTCGTTACTTTCACTGATTTTTCTCATGAGAGTGGCGGGTAGAAGAGTGAACTTCATGTCAGATGGTAAAGGTAAACCAACTTCTATATGAAGTAGTAAGGACTCGAACCACTTCTCCAGATCACAAAACTCGGGTCTGTTAGACAAAGACACAAATACTTCAAAAACACGCAAACATATCGTCGCCATCCAAGGAGGTCGAGAAAATCTCAGTCAAAAAATGCCCACATAATTTCTTTTATTTCTCTGCTTCCCAGAAAGCGCATAGGTGTTTTGGTCACACCAGACCCTAGGTGCGAACATCCGCCTTGATTCAAGCTCTGGATTGACCCCAACACTCAAGTTACAACTGTATTCCGCTTTGGTTGAAGAAAAGGTAATTTTTTTGGACTGAGTGAGGTAAAATTCAAGACTATTTCACCTGACCAACGAGCCTAGGGCCGAAAGAAATCTTGTGTAACAGGAATGTCTTAGGCAAACTACCCAAGATATATTGGCTTAAAAGTTGTAATATACAGAGTTGATTCAATCTGTGGTTTGACCAGCATCGGAAGAAATATGATTGGGTACTTCGCAACAACGGGTGATTTTATAGCTTAATATCGTGAACCCCGTTGTTATTTGCAACACAAAGAATTACGTACTTTAAGTCTGTAATTCCAAGTAAGGAAACATTTCTCTTACCTCTTGTCTGAGTCCAGATCGCAGCAAAGGAAAGCTATTTTGTAAAATAACTCGGGACATCCCTCGCAAAACTCTTTACAGAATTTCTCTTCGTCAATTCCAAAATTCTGTGGACGCAGAAGCGAGAAAGTTGAAACCATGATCGAATTTTTTAAGAAAGCATTGACACTGACCAGATGATATTTCTCCACATTACCCACAATCCCATCCTGCAAAATCTTAATTTTGGTTACTCCCTGGAGCTAATTGTTTATTCTCCCATGTAATACAGCTAAAAGGACGTCGAAATTATTTCAATATATCCAGCTTGTAACTATGTCTACTATCACCACCTTTTTACTGGATATTGTAGTGAAATTTGGAGTAGATCTGTGCCAATCGCTTCGAGGATGAAACAGCTAATTCCAAGCGTTTTCTTTAAGTGTGTAAATTGGAAATACAAGATTAACCAGGCGTAATCAAACTAAAGCAACCAGAATTATGAAACCGAGAGGTTCAAGAAACTACTTACTGATAATCGAGGGAGGTAGTCTGGATCAGCCTTTACTCGGCCAATTATCTGAAATAAAAAAGGAAGGAGGTGATAGTGGACCCTCTAGAATAAAGAAATATGGAGTTCATATGGAATTTGAACAGGAATGACACGAAATGACATAACAAATTAATGGATGGAAGTAACAATCATACCTCGCATGTTAAAACCCCAAATGAGAAGACGTCGACCTTTTCATTGTACGTCATTCCTAAAGAGATAAATGAGACAGGTGATGAAAAAGGGCGCTTTGTAACAAGCAAGGCAACACTCGACCTAAGACGTCCATCTTGCCGGAGCACATTCCCCTTGAAAAGACAAGAAGCGACTAGAAGTATTGCTACTCCCCCAAGGCGGATGCCGGTTCGAAGATGGGCTGCCCCCACTTCCCCCTCCCCCCGCCCCCTTTCAGCGAGGTGGGAGTAACCCAGCAATTTCAGTGAAGCAATCCTTTTCTTACTCACCCCTCCATCGGAGCATTTCTTCACCAATTAACTCCCAGAATTAACAAACGTGTAACTTCTCCCTATCATATCCATGCATTATCCAGTAAACAGGTAACGAGAATACTCAAACTTATAAGGTAGAAGTTGTTATCTTAATCTAGCCCCCAAATCTCACCACCATTTTACAAGGAAATGTGTAGCAGCTAGAGGAGAGAATCTAACATTTAGATCTTGGGAGTTAGAAGTTTAAGGTTTTCCCGACAACACACCAGAGTCCATTGATACTCATAGGAGGAGAGAGGTCTTGTGTGGAATGTAGAATGTACTGCTCACACACACACACACACACACACACAGACACACACACACACACACACACACACACACACACACACACACCCCAGACCAACACTCAGGATCTAAAAATAACAGAGGAGAATGTGCTACCTTTCTATGGATAGACATTTTAGTCTTCTCGGATAAGGACGAAAAAACTGTAGACACCGTCTCCTGCATCTTCTCTATACTGGTTACCAGGGGACGTTGAAGAATCCACACACACACACACACATACACACACACACACACACACACACACACACACACACATACACACACACACACACACACACACACACACACACACACACACACACACACACACACAAGTAAGAAGTAAACTCACCCAACAACATCTCAGGAGCCATCCAGTACGGGGAACCCACCACTGTGTACCTGAGAATCGATAGTGATTTACAACGTTATAGTTGGATTCAGGAGGTAAATATAATAGTTCGCCTTTCGAACTACTTACAAATTTTAAGTATGGCCGATGAAACCTAAAGTTGCGAATCCTCTGACGCAAATAAAGACCTCAAAAGAACTTAAAGGATATGTCAATACACAATGGAAAAGACATTCAGAACAAGAAGAACAAGCTTATTTCGTCTCCATGTACCAACTACTCGCATCTAAGAAGCTTGCGACTGGGCTACGATCATTTTCTCCAGATGAGAACCATTGTAAAAGCATCACACCTTTTCTTCGGAGGAGGCGGTCTGTTGCCGGTAGAGCTAAGTGATTTTTGTCCAGGGGAGGGAGGCATGGTCGATGATATCCGATCAAGAGGCGATAAGGGTCTGTCTCTAACCACACGAGCCAAGCCAAAGTCGGCCACAACCACTGACATATCACCTGACTCCTACACATCATGAAAGAAGGAGGACTATAGTAAACCTAACACATGGAACCAGCGCAAACTCGATCTAAGTCACTGCCAAACACAGTCGAAAAAGAGGGCCTTAAACCTGTTCTAATATCATGTGCGTTTGAGAGATAAGGATACTTCGGTTGTGTGACTCCTGTAAACGCTATGTAACCAAAGCAATCTCGGATTGCCCTGTTATTTCCTGATTACGCTTTGTGATTTATCCAGAAAAATCGCGCTACCTTTTAAACCAATCAGATGCAAAAATAAATTCGATAATCACTTTACCAGTTACGTTTTACGCGCTTCCGTCACTGGCTTTTGTTTTCTTTCTTCTGATTTCCCGCCGTAATGACTATGGTTTAGGTTGTACGACACTCATTCTGAGTGCGTTCTGAAGGGTCCTCGATATTTTTTTTCTCGGCAATCAGTATATTTTTTCTCCCAAGCCAATCACCAGCCCATGATTCCGGTTGCAGAGTTGCTTCGTTTTGTCTGGCCGAGCGACACAGCTTCGGTTTTTGTATAAAAGATTTCATTTATGTAGGCCAGACCCGTTTAAGGAGGAAAAGGGTAACAAAAGATCACCTTCACAAAAAAATCATCAAAATAGACATTATACCTTGTCGGTTTCAACCAGACAATTCTTTGAGGTTAAGTCTCTGTGCATGACGTTCATTGAATGGAGGTAAGCCTAGGAAAAGGATTGAAAAAGATTAGTTAAAAAAATTATACAATTAAATAACAAATGCACCAGAGATGAATTATTCTGACACAAGACCTTTGGTGAAAGTACAATATCGAGTATACCACAAGAAATTTTCTAAGATTTAAAATCTCCCGATAGTAAAAGTAAATTCTTTGAAACTTTATTTTTGTACTTGTAAATTTAAGAAGAATCTATTTTATTTCTATGGGTTTTTTAACCTTCTACTCCTTGATCTGAAAGCTTATTCTCCCAACTGATGAGCTGGAAATTCTCTGCTCACTAGTTGTGGGAATTCAGCGTTATATCATTTCTTTTATTCTCATTACTTAACATCTTGACAGTGTATCCGGATACCAAGGAGAAATTATATATTAGAACTTCTCCAACTCACCATTCCTGCCGCTATGTCTTTTGCAAACCTAATCCTCTGTAACCATGGCAGTTGTTTACCCTTGAAGGAAAGCAAACTTCTGAAATAAGTTTGAGTACTGTCAATACAAAACTATGATCTTACGAAAAGAGTTATCCATGACAAGCATTCAGATTATGTGTTGACTGCTCCATGTAGAGATGGGAACATAAGCAAATACACATTTTCACAGTAGTTCACAAGTCCCATGCACATCTTGCAAAATCCCATGTAGCTCCAACTTTCTTAGAGTTAGTAGAGCAAAAAAAAATCATTTCATACCTTATCCTTTAGGACTTGACGCACTGTACCACCACATATATACTCTGCAAAACATCAATGTTTTAATCAACAAAGATAAACAATCTTATCATTTCCTTCAGTCTTTGCAAACACAATACATCCACTTAGCATAAGGCTTACCAGTAATCAAGTTCAAGGTCTGGTCTCTGTACAAAATCCCTATAAACCGCAGTACATTAGGATGATTTAAACTCTTTAGCAAAGCAACCTAAAAAAAATTCAAAATTTTCTTTTAAGAGCTAACAAACAAACCCCTCTCGATAAAAAGTCTCTTCTTCTCACTAATAAGCCAGCCCCCTCTCTCACAACACTCCCCCCCCCTCCCCATCTTAGGTGGTTTTCTACAGTTTTTTCTCAAAATTTGACGGCATTGGGCATCAAGTTTCTCAGTAGTCCTACATATGCTGTGCAGTTAATAGTCCTTAGTCCTTGTCCAATCATGATTTTTAAGGAAAATGTAACTTACCTCTTTTAAAAAGCTGACTTTAGCTGTCTCATCATAATTGAGAAGCTCTTTCATCACCATAACCTCTCCACTCTGACTCTGTGTCACCTTGAAAAAAAAAATCGTATTCCTGAAACTTGAAACTAAAAAAAACGGCACAATTATTTAGCACACATGAAAGAATGCAGACGAGATGTTGATTTAAGACAAACTATGATTAACTTCCTGGTTGATCTTAAGGTTTGATCGCATGAGTAGTCCTAAAAAGGACCCTTATTGGCAACAGTAACTGACATTTCAACTTGCCAAGCAGAAGCCATTTTCAAAGTCAAGTTACCTGAATTAAGAAAATGGTAGTCCCTTGCAGAATTACCTTTATTCAGACTATCACACCAAAGGTCTGATCAATTGTCCCCCCTGGGTTGAGTCATTTGCTGCATACCTTTCTAACTTGTCCAAAAAAGCCTTTTCCAATCACATCTCCAATGATCAGATCACAAGGCCTGAAGACCCTTTATAAGAAGTCAATTACATAGCATCAATTAACTGACTCAGAGGTTAAATATACCCCCCAATGTAACCAGCAAATTCTGAGTTGGACTAAAACGTTTTGAGGAATTTTTTGGCAAATAAATGATTAGATAAGTAAACAAACACAATATTGCCGAGTCTTACCTGTTAGCAGCAGTCTCTGACTTGAATGACTGAGCTCTGTGAATTGCAGATCGTAACTTGAAATTGTCAGACAATGAATTGCTGTTGAAGAAAACAAAAACACATTTAAAAGCTTAAAGAATTTACCAGTATCTTGTCATCATCAGATTTTTGTGACTAGTTTTCGCAGAAAAGCGAATCAAAGAATTACCTTCTAGGAAGTGAATTTGATCGCATAGCAGGCTTCGATGTCTTCTTTCCACTAGCATCTTTCAAAGAATCTCCCTCCCCATTAATCAGAGGGGGGTTTTCTGAGGATGCTGATGTTTGACAGCGCCGTAGTTCCCTTCTGGAAAACAGAGATATGGACCTATTACGAAAGCTTTTATCTTCAGCAGCTGCCTCAGATTCAAAGTCAGAATCAACACTGAGCAGTCTGCACTGTTTGGGTTTCAGGTCCAGTCCACTTGCATTTCGTTCAAGTGTAATTTCAGTAATCTCATTTGATTGGGACATCAGGAGAGTAGCAACCTATGGGGGTAAAAAAAATGCATAAAACACTTTTTAACTATGATTGACATTTGTATCTTAAAGGATACCAAACTGCAAAACCAGAAGATGCTTAATTTTTTTAAGTCTTTTACAGTGTCAGCTATATACATGACTCAGGCTACCTCCATAAATCAGTCATTCTCAGCCTCTTTCTTCTTCACAAAACAAGTAACTATCTTGGCACATATTCAGTGCAACACACATGCTTAGTATGGAGTCCCTAAGACTAGGTCTCACTATATTTTTAAAGTAAATAGCTTATTCTGAACCACCTTGGATTTTCAAAGGATTTCTCCACATTTCCTAATTACCCCAATTACTACACAGATTGATTACCCATTCTTTGATTACCTTGTCAATAGTAGAGGGAGACACAAAAACTTTGTTGACCTCCAGTACCACATCTCCAATCAGGATATTTAATGTATCACAACTCTGTGACTTTGTGGTTGTTCTAATCCTTATGACAAGGAAAACATTTCTCATATCACATACAAAGTACAGGTATGCCACCAAAATTAAAGTAAATTCCATATAATAATTAATAAACTTGAAGTACCAGTACTTTAGACATCCACATTTTGTTTTGCAATTGTAAATACCACAAAGGGTACTAAAAGAGTAGACAGACCATCTACCATTAAAATTTATTTACTGCACATACAACAAAGATATTTGAGATCACAATCAAGTGAAAATTTATATGTTCAAAGAAGATGACACTGAGACAAAATAAGAGTACCCGTTGATCACAAGAGACATCTCAGGTTCTTTCTCCAAACCTCTAGACTTTAGAGACCTCTTTCTTTCTCTCTTCAAAATTTCTACTTCAATTTTATGCTTGCTCAAAGCTCCAGGATTCAGATTTAAGTGATGAACAGCATGCAAAGAAGGGTCCCACCAAGACTCTTCTTGTCCTTTTGTGAAGCACATACAGCTAGGGTTAAATATATTTCAAATATCATAAGAAAAAAATTGCGGATTATTGTTGCAATGCAATTCATTTATCAAAAGATACAATGACATGTAATTGTTGTTCATCTTGCAAGGTACTAAAAGCCAAAGTGTAACTTCTACCATATACCACCCCCAGGGAATGATCAAGAAGTCATTTCTCCTTACAGTATTGGTACAATATTGAGAAGGAAGATAACGAGAAAATAGAAAAACATCTTTTGGAACTTAAAATTGTAACAAAGATACATACATACATACATACATACCTACCTACCTACCTACCTACCTACATACATACATAGGGTAATTGACCACTCCTCATAGGGGCTTTTCAGGACCAACACCCACCCATCCCACCCAGGGGAGGATATCCACCACACAGTAATCTCGTGCGTGGGAAATTAACATCTCCTACTCCTAACCCTGCAGGAGACGGGGCCTACGGTTTATTCGTCCTTATCTGAGAAGACTAGAATATCTATCCATTTCTTGATTATAGAAAGGTAGCAAATTATCCTCACTTATTTTAAGACCATGAGTATTGGTCTGGCCAGGGTTCAAACCCTCGACCTCCCGCACCACACAATCAGGCGCTCTAACCAATTGAGCTAATGGGGAGGCAGCGTAGATCAAATAAATGCAAGATCAGATAAATGCAAGATTTGCTAATAAGACTTGGGAGTACAAAGGTAAAGTGAACCACCACCCTGCAATTTCTGATTCAGCTTCAAAATCTAGTCTTTAAAATTCAGCTGCTGGTAGAAACTTTTTACTTTTAGTGCATTATGTCCACTAATAACGTGAGTGAGTATTGATCCCCATATTAAGCCAAGGAATAATGTTCTTATACTGCTGGAAAATCCTGTGGTATATATCCCTTCATGAGCTAAATATCAATGAGCTTATCAATTTCCAGGACTTTCAGATCCCAAGGTTTATTTATAATTGATAAGGGTGGGAGGGGAGGGTAGGGGGAGAGGTATTACAAACTTATTGAGGACCACAATGTAAACTTTGTGTCTCTTCTGATTTCTTACTCATGTGTTATGAAAATTGTAAATAGTAAAAAGTTCTTTACTGTGAAGAAAATCCTATATCTAAAAAGGAAACTAATCCCAGTTCCTACTTGCTTATCTCTCATTACATATAAAGTCTTAAAAAAAGGAAATTAAGAAAAGCTTCCAAATAGTACTACATACCTGTGTTTTTTAAGTAAACTAACTCTTTTTGTTTAATGGAGAGAGTTATTGGTACATGGTCATATGGAGCATGATCTTTGAATCATATTTCATGTATATCTTTGCAATATTACTAAACTACCATGATGCTGACTAAATTATTTGAAGCATAATACCATGTCAGTCTATGTCGTTCAACAAGAATGTAATCGTCTTCTTCTCCCAAAAATTGCTGACAGTTTCCACATGAAAAACATTCAGTGTGGAATTTATGATCAGCTACAACCTGATGGGGAAAATTTAGAAGAAACAGATTCAATACAAGAAGTTTGTTTTGTTTTCCCAGATGTGTAATCCCATGTTCCCATGTTTGTATACCCAGGCTTTGTGGCCCTTACTGTATGAGGTAATAGTGTGCCTGGATGCAACAGGGATGGAGAAAATTGCAAATCACCAAGTTCAAAATTTCTGGTTCAATTTTTCAAGTTTTCAATGTTTGGTAGAGCCTTTCAATTACCAGTAACAAAATGACTAATTTTTGTTCCTTATCAATATTGACACTAAACAAAATAATGCAAATTACATCAAAATCTACTTTTAATTCAGCAGGTGACGAAGTTATAATTTCCTGTTACTGTTACAAGAAATTTATTTTAATTCAAATTTGGGAAAGTTGCTGAAAGCTGAAATGGCCCATTTTGTAGCATTCCTGGACACAATAAGAATTTGATGTACACTCGCTCTATGATGCGGAAAATTGAAAAGATTAAAAAGTTTTAAATCGGTAGATGAAGAAATACAACCAACATTAAGCGTAAAATATCACGCGCAATAAATTACAATGGAAGAGTTGGATCAGTGAATGAGGCTCATGTAAAGTATTCGCCCCTCTAAAACTAAGGAAACTATTCCCAACAACAAATCAAGATCGATTCAGTAGATGAACAGGTTTCATCAAAACCACAAAACCACAAAAGAATTCTGCGAGTACAAGATTTATACGTAGACATACTCAGACATACTTAGAGAACGAGATGTAACACGATAGATTATAGCATAATCCATACCATAACAAGTCCACTAATTTTTTGCTCGCAGACGTGACACTTCGATCGGAATTTTTCCGTGTAGTCTTTTCTGCAATAAAGCGTCTTGCCACGAGCATAATAGACAGACGACAGTTGCCGTTTACACTCTGAGCACCTAAAAGAAAGATTGTGTTAGGGAAAAGGCATCCGGACATAAAGGAATTCAGTTTCCTGACAAAAGGAACTTACTTGAAACAGTTGCGGTGCCATTTGCTGCATAGCGCCTCTATGGGAATCTCATCCTTTTGTAGCGGATTGCCACAACTTATGCACACTACGCCTTCCATGCGAAGCAAAGCGAAAGATATAGGACAGACTTGAGCGAAGAGTAAATGCGTCAATGAATAATATTGACTAACCTGCCATTTTTTTATATCCCAAACTACCCCCTACATTTTGTCGACGGGTGATATTTTCCGCACTGTAAACTGCAGCCTGGCCTAAAATCCGCAGGCCTGGCCGCTAAATGTTCCTCAATCATCTATTCCTAGCTAGGTCCTCAAAAGCTAAAATAAGATGAAATCAAAACGAAACAACAACCACTCAGCCGTAAGCCGGTAGTTTCATGTATAGTGGAGATGAAAAAAAATTGGCCATTTAGAAAACTAACTGCTTTTGATCGGAAAACTTGCGGCAGTGATGGGTACGAGAACAGTAATCGTACACCTGAAAAATAGTAGTGTGGGACTAAGGGACGGGATCATAGTAAGTTATTCTTAAAGACCAGCTGTAGCGTGCGGGTGCAACTGCACTTTCCACTCAAAACCAAGATCTACAAACAAACGTGAAAACGTCAAGTTTCTACAGATATCACAGCTGCCCAGTGCGCTATTTCCATTCCATTCTGATCTTTGTTCCTCCGCTCAATTCCCAAAACAATTATCAAGCCTGAGGCTACAAAGAAAGGAAGTTTTTATGAATTTCTCACCAGAATCACCACAAGTTTTTTTTTAAGGCGATGCAGACCTTTATAAGAAGGAAAAATGTATCACTTGGAAGGCCAAACATGGAATTGATACAAACCTTTTGTCGGCTAAACCGATCGGATTGACACCTTAAGAAAAACGCCGATTTACATGTAAAATGCTGCAGTTGGCAAAAGAAAAGTAAAATGCTCATAGCGTATCTGTTTCCTAAAGGTAAAGGGAATATTTCTCAAACGTCAACTGTAAAGAACGGAAAAAATAAGAAACAAAACCAAACTTGATTGTTGTTCCTTCAATGTCTCTAATTGTACTTGAAAGCTGAAAAGTCACAGAGAAACTGGAAGAAGCCGCAAGTTGCAAAATGTGTAATGAGTTCACAAGCATCCCTCGAAGAACGGTCTTCATCCCAGGGACAAATGCGTTCCTGGTAAAATTTAAAACTGTTTATTACCAGGGAACGAAGGATATTCCGGGGCACCTTGGTTGATTCGCTGCATCGCCCCTCCGGAAGGCTCCACAACAACAACTGTAGTCGCCTGTTATGGCAATAAAAAAAAAAAGAAAAAAAAAGAAAAAAAACAATTACAAAATTTGTCCGGTAACAGATATGGACGATATGCAAAGAGCTTTCGTATCCAGCGGTCTCGGATTGTCAACTGAAGAATGCAGGACAGAGCGTGACATGTTTTGCAAGTTCACTCGTCCGCTGTATGGTCTACTTCACAGCTGTTCGTGACATGTCACGCAACATAACTCCCAACCACACCCCACACCGCAAAAAGCTTTTTTTTTTTGTTTTTGTTCTTGTTTTTTTTGTTTGGCGCGGGGGTGGGGGGAGAGGGGTGTATGACATCCTAAGGAACGGCTCTATGGGAAATTTGTCACTTACGACTTGTCCAGTGCAACAGACTCCTATGCAACCAATGATAGAACCGCCCAGCGCAAGGAGGGCTCCCACACCGTCCAAAATGAAGATACCAAACATACAGCGCTGGGCTACTATTATGTCGTCGCAGGTATCCACTGTACATTAAATGGCAATGTAGAATGAGGCTAATCAGTTATTTTAATGTATTTACTATCGCAAAAAGGTTAGAATGCGTTTTATGTTTCATAACGGCACTGGCCATAATGAGATCCGTGGCGTTCGTCGACATATTGGTCAGCCTTGCAATTTAGTCGTGGCTTATTGACTCCTCGCTAAAATAGTGGCAAAATGTTTTGATTATTTCTCTTCGACGTGCAAACTCTCCTCAAAATGGAAGAAAAAAAACAAAACATCATTTGGTAGATGAACAAAATATCAAAATGAGATGATTACTCTTAAAAGTAGGCGGCTTTGTCGAGGAAGGCGAAGACTGATTCAGATTACAAGCGATCGCATTAAAAACTCATGTTATATTTTTAAGTGAAATTAAAGAAACCAAGACCCATCGAGTTACATAAGGCCTATAATGTACATATTCCACTCATGAGAAGACTACAAATGGCAACCTCCTTCAAAAAGACTCGAATACGTTATGTATTAGAGGCTTACAGTTCATTGGGATATCGTTTTCTCCACTGCAGTGACATGATCCCTCCGCGCTGATGCTGCATTCGTCTTCCAGTGTCGCCCTTATAATGCTGAGTAAGGCATAGAGCCCAAATGAGATTACGGCTCCGACCGCACACGCAACAAACCACAGGATGTCCAAGACAAGAAAGAACATCATCTGAAAAAAATCCCGAGTAACTCTCTTTCTTTTTATAGCGATTATCAAAGAAGTTATTCTTTGTATTAGCTCTCAGCACTGCCATTGATTCGCCCGTGATCGCCCCACTTTATTTTTTAATGGCATCTGTTTTCAACAAATGAGATAACCACCCATTCAAAGAAGCCAGTGAGACACCGTAAAATTTCCAGGGGGACAGTATAAAAAAAAAATCATGTCAGCTCCCGTCAAGTGTCTCGATGATGAAGAGAAAGATTGAGAAAAACCTTATAGTTGTTAAAAATGGTAAGGCTGGTCAATCAAACATATTTCATAGCAATCTTAGTAGCTTTTTAGTTTCTTTCTCTTTCCCAGAAAGTCTTCCTTTGACATATGGCCTCTTGTAACTGCTTCAGACATTCTAAGCCGTCTTCGGCCGCAGAACCTTTGTTAAAACAATTTCCCTCGTTATTGTTTCAGCTAAACACTTCATTTTCAAAACAGAAAAAAGGAAAAAGTAGGCATGACTGATATAAATTATAAGAAACAATTCCAGAGAGCGTGGGATCTACAAATAGTGACATTATTGAGAAAAAAAAAGACAATCAGAAAGAGATTGATTCATTTAATTTTGAAGAGGTTTGGATAAGCAAGTTTTCCCTGTTTCGTTTCTGGACGGCAAATAGGCATTTTTTTATTATTTACTGTAAATTACTCACAGCTGTTTTGCTTTTTCTCAGCCACGTTATGAGACCAAACACTGCACAAAGCAGCAACTAAATAGAAAGAGAAAAATATGTTAATACAGCTTCACTTACTAATGATTTAAAATGGCGGTGCTAGTAACAATACATACCTGAGCAGGCTGAGCAAAGTTATAGACTTCAATTCGTTGAACTGAACTTAGAATTTAATTGGAAGTAAATGTATCTTGTTGATATTTTTCTGGTATGGTTCAAAATAAATGAGAATTCTTTAAGTAACCAACGTTTCTTGTTGTAGCTTTCTTGTGAAAGGATTGCGCAAGGTCTTTAATTAACGTGGCAAAATGTAGGAAAATTTGTTGAGAGACAGCTAATTCTCAACTTTACTTCGACTCGCCAGCCCTCTTTGATCAATGAAAGTTGGGATGAATGCACATTCATCTCCCCATACGAACGATTTTAGATTAGAAAACATTCTAGTTGAGGTTAATTGGCGTCCAGTACTGAAAACGTAAAGCAGACTTAAGCCCTAAATCATGTCATTTTGCCAATTTCAGTTGACGTTTTACAATTCGTTTTCATTAGATAATCAAAACACACATTAACATATGCCATACCCCGAATCCTGTCCAAAGTCCAGATCCCTGCACACCTCCTATTGAGGCATAAATCGCTCCACATATCAAGTCGACGACCGCGGTAATTAAAATGAAAATTGACAAGATGCCAGCCGCCATCGCCTTGCTATTCTCGACAAGATCAGTCATTTTCGCCCTTAAGAAATTCTCGTCAAATGAGCTTGGCACTAAAGCACAAAATGACAAGACCACTGCGAACTTAAAGAAAATAGTTCAAGTTCATTACGAGAATCGCTTCAGTGATAAATAAGTGCCGAAGTTAGGAAACTTTCTGTGAGTTGTATCAGACTGCTTCGCAATTTCTCACAACGGAATGAGTAGTCTCATGTCAACCGCAGGACGCCCAGGCCCCCTAAAGGCCGTAGATGTATTGTTGATTATTGAAATCATCCAACACCAAAATGTTTCCTAAGAAAAAAATCCAGGTAAGAATGACGTTTTTATGTGTGTCTTTAGCGGTAGTGTTCGACTACTTTGAAGTCGTTTGGCTTCTTAGAGTGATACTTCAAAATTCAAACAGCCCTCATACAGCCTATGTTGCCCGTGTCTTTACTTTGGCGCCTTGTTTTAGGGTCAATATATCTCTGTGAGGGGAGAAGTAGGGGGAAATTGGTACTTTCAAAGCTTCATGTGATGTCTGTGTGACAAGAGAATACATCGCGCTCAACAAATTCTTTCAGAGTGCGCTTTTTGAAGTAGACAAAGAAACAAGGAGGGTTGGAGTTCGTATGATATTAGGTGTAGTTGCGAAAAGATTACCTCTCGTACAGAACCAACAATCGTATATGTTTTTGTTGTCTTGATACCGAAAGAGTACGAGAGAAAAGCTATAGGCAAGCTGAGATCTTTCAATTTCTTCATGGCTTTCAAATGATCTGACCTTTTTTCCACTTATACAATCTAGATATAGTTCTCGTTTGATTAGGCGTAAGACTGCAGCGTTTTCCTGTTCACAAGTAGGAGAAGTTCTTTATTTAACACAATTCACACCTTTTTACAGCGTTCGGGGACTCACGATGCCTTTAACTCAAAAGACCTAAACTTCATTTTATCTAAGAGACAGCAAAAGACTCATAACATTGAATTGTTGATTTGTAATCTATTACGCCTCAGAAAAAAAGTCACACCGATGTAAACTCGTATAATGTTTATTATTATTATTATTATAATGTAAAATTATTATTATTATTAAAAGTTACATCATTGGATAATGCAATTCAAGACTTTTTATTGGCTTAGCCATTATGGTATATCAGCCAATATACCCTAATCTACAAATATGGCAAGCGTAGTGTCAGCTTAAAATTAGAAGGGAGCTAAAAATTTAAAAAAAATTTGATGATTTAATTTAACGTTTTTAATAAAACAATTATTCCACTCGCGCTTGTTGGATATGAGATGATAGATAGCCAACGAGGCGCGTAGCGCCGAGTTGGCTATCTATCATCTCATATCCAACGCGCGCTTGTGGAATAATTGTTCATTATTATTACTATTATTATTATTATTATTATTACTAGGTCTAGGTGATACAAACCCCCCTAAAAATCTCGTTCCTAGGTCATCCCTCTCCCTCCATGGAGGAAGGAAGAGAGAAAGCCTTGAGATCGAAGTTGTACAACCAAGCCCTGAGACAAAAACGAAAAGTGCAACTTGCGCAGCAGCTGTTCATTGTGAAAGCACGCTGACCAAAACATTTGCTGTGTTCAGAATGGTTATCCATCGAATACACTGAATTTTAGGCTACCACAAGTATGATATATATTACAAGTTAACTGGTGAAATTTTGTTTACTTTATGCATTGAACTTTTAAGCGCTTCGTATTTTTCCTCTCCTCTCCCCGTTTCCTTTTTTTCGACTGGTCTTGATCCGCTGTTAACGGAGACAAGATCCCTTAGTAACCTGGCTTTTCGGGGTATTCTGGTGGAGCTTGACCTTGCTGTTGAGTCGTCACGGTCGTCATCACCATCGCAGGCTGTTGCACCACAACCACATTAGTTTCCTGCGTAAATGAAAATGTTATATAATCGGATAAGTACAATAGGTGTACCAGTTTTCCCGTCAAGTGGAGGGCCACAGGTTTGTCAGCTATACAGCTGTTACGTGTCCCCCTCTATAAATAAAGTCCTTACTTACTTACTTACTTACTTACTTACAGATACAGTGTGAGATTTTGGTATCCTATAAACGAAACCGCATAGATAACGAAACAAATTTGTGCCTCGCATTATTGATCAGTTGACAAGGAAATGATGTTTCACAACCAAAGATTAAATCAAACTTAGGTCCAAAAAAGTAAACACTATAGTTGCGTGACTTACAGATTTGGCGCAGCAAGTTCCCATACAGCCAATGATAGAGGAAGCAAGAAGCAAAATGACTCCGAGGATGTTAACGAACGTCATGCAAGCAAAACAGCTTTCAATTGTTTTGATGTGACTGCACTTGTCAACTGTGGGAAAAAGAGATCACAGTTAGAGTACGCAAGGATATGACGGTCATTATGCATTATTTAGAGAGCGGGTTAAAATCTTGACGAACTTGAGAAAACAAGGTCAGAAAACTTTTCAAGATTGAAGGAATACAAGCGAAATTTGATACTAAGACATACAAAAAACTGCTAATCACAGATGGCAGCTATTTTTTTATTTAAGCGCTGAATCGTCACTGTAAATGAAGTTCTATCATGCCTACGGTCCGAGTGCCAATTCCCCTTCTTGAAATCAATTCCTAGTTTCAGCTTCCAGAAATTAAAGTTATATCCAAACATTGACAACGTTAGCTTCTGTATTCTTCAATTACCTGCTTAAAAACTTACTAAAAGTGTTATACGCTTAGAGAAGGGATGCCTTAATAGCATGAGAAAACAGCAAGAGTTATCGCTTGATACCAAGAGTATTTGAAGTTTCCTTTCCACTGACCTGGGATTGGGACTTTCTTCTCAGCGTTGCAAATGCACTGAGATCCTACCTGTTCGCATTCTGACTCCACTACCTTTCGGATTAGGTGCCAGATAAGCCACGCAATTAGACAGATAATCACGAAAACAGTGGTCACAATATCCATGAGAATGCTCAGTACCAGGTAAGCGATGAACTGCGAAAAAAAAAAGAAAATCCATAATGGATTTAAAACAAAGAATGAATTGTTCGTAAGAACGACTTTTTGACGTCACAAGCCCTCACTTTCCCGAAGGGACTTGGAAGCACACGACCGGAATAGTATCGATATTATCCCATCTAGTAACGTGGGCGAAAAAGGGCGTGAGTAAGGATGGGGGGGGGGAGGGGATTGAAGGAAGATTCGCTCTACGGGGGGAAGCATCACGCTAATTTAAAAGCGGCTTCACACCATTTACAACACTCTCCCCTCCCATATGAAAAACAATCATTTCCAGAGAAGATTGCATAACAGAAATGTAAACATGCTCCACTACCCATAATTATAAATTTCGTTTTTACTGTTAAAAAACCGAGGGAAAAAAAAGAACTAACGAAGTAGTATTAAAATTTACACTAAATCGGAAGAATAATCAAAGAATAGAAGCAATGAATAATGATAAAGTGGAAAAATCAATACAATCATTCTGAAATGCTCTCTTACCGCCCCTTTGCTCAGAAGAAGCCATGTCACCAGCCCCAGGACAAAAATGATCATATGCTGTAGGTTAAAAATTGAATGAAATTATCAGAAAGATGAAGGAAAAATTATAAAAGTTTGATCTCTAATTGAGTTTTTATGGGAAAGAAAAGAAACTTCTTGAAAAGTGTAATTTATCTAGGAACAACATTTCCGTTTTTTTCTTCATTCAAGTTTAGCAAACGTTTACCGTACCCAGGTCTGTCTTTGTCTTTGGAACAGGGTAGCAGTTGTTTTAACAATTCCGAATCGCAAATTTAGGCTAATCAACAAAATGAAAACTCATGCTACAACAATCCATTTTCGGCTTTCATCGAAAAAGCGTCTCTGAAACGAACGCCATTCCTTTTATTTTCAACAAAAAAGGCATTAAACATTACACATCAAGTGCTGACTGAACCCGTAAATGAGGTACATTGAGGTCTAATTTGAATGACAGTTCAGGTGTATATACACTATGTCCTTAGCGATCACCAAATCCAATGAAAATCCCTCTACACTGGACAAAATACCTTGATTTTCGGAGATTTGCTTTATCTATTTTTGCCAACCCAATTGGTATCTGACACATGATTATACGACAGCCTTCCACTGGCCTAGAAAATTTTACCATAGCTATGATATTACTTAACAGCCGAGAACAGAAGAAAGAATTATTAGCATCCGCTAATGATCACATGACTAGCAAGGAAACTGTCCATCTATTCATAGTTAGTAGAGCGCTATGTTGGTGCTCAACTGCAAAAAGAAAGACACCAACACAGCGCTAACTCGCCGAAAACGCTTCAAAATGGCCTGAGACGCTCGGAATCAAAAAAGAAAACAACAAAGCAATAAGGTAAGCCCATTTTATTTCAAAACAAGACATTTTTTCCTCTCTTTTAAGGCAAACCGATAACAACCCATACAAACCTTTATAAATATAAGACGTTGCGGT